TTTTCTACAAACCATTAAAGGAAATACTGAAACATATCACTAATGTTGCATAAAATATATAGCTTTCAAAATCAATGTTGTGGCAACAAATTTTAAGAAAAGTATTATATTACTTTCTAGTGAATGTATCAGGCTGAAAGATGTGCAAATTGCAGAACGTATGGAGATGGCACAATGTCAAATTCACTTCAAAATGTATATACAGATCAGGAAACCACAGCAAGGACAGAACATGGAGAAACACACTGGCTCCAGATTGGCAAAGGAGAAAGGCAAAGCTGTTTACTCTCCCCTTATTTATTCATCCCATATATTGAATATATATTAAAGGAAACTGGATTGGAAGAAGATGAGCATCCTTTTAAAACTGGGCATCTGCTGTGTTGATGATACAACTCTGATGACCCTACACTGATAGCCAAAAATCAAAATATCTACAAGCCCTGGTAATAAAAGTCTTAAGAACGCAGCATTCTGGCTGGGGAATTCTGGAAATGGAACTCCACGCATCTTAAAATTGACAAAGTTGAGAAACATTGATCTAGATAGGAGAGCTGAGTTCAGAGAACATCTTCAATAGTCAAGTAGAAGGAAGTGAGAAAAGGAAGCCTAAGACAGAAGATTTGAAATAAAAATAAGTATAAAGCCTGACCCATCTCACAATCAAAATTTCTGATATGGCTAAATCATACCTTTGTCCATGGAGGGAGCTTGACACCTGTCATGTCTCTATTTTAGACATATAGGCAGATTCACAAAGTACTGGGATTCATGCAGATTATTATTTAAGAATGGGGTAAGATATTCACAAAATCCAAAGCCATTCTTGAACATTGCAAAAAGCCTTGGTTTACAATGGCAATTGGGATCGGAATTGCCATTGCTAAGTGACACAATTGTAAAACATGATGTCAAATCTACAATAGAACCAAAGCCATCTACCATGTCTTATTTTGTATTAAGTTTTGGATACCACATACAATATGTGCCTGGAGCACACACTGAACTTAATCTTCTCAGAAGGAGAAATATCAAACTTCATTCGATTCAGAGCAAAGCACTTGACCACAAATTATTTTCAGCCATTCATAATTGAAATGCAGAAATGGAGCTCAGATACAAGGACACCCATAGGAAGTATTGATAAATCTATTTATCCATAGAGGGTAATGGTAATAGTTTTTTGTCCTTAAATTAACACTTGATCACATGTTTTTGTCTATTTCTGCTTTAGTAAAACTTAATATTTTTCTGAGCTATTTCATTTAATTTTTAAATCCCATGTTAGCATTCTAAAAAAACCTAGTTTATACATCGTGCTTTCTGTGTCATTTAATTTTCTGTGTTTAACTCAGAAAATTATACAGATTTGGAGTTAATATCCAAAATAAAAATCATTTCATTGTTATTTTGCCATTTAGAGTATACATTTTTACAACATTTCCATATAAAATTTAGAAATAATATTTTTTAAAAAAAATAGAAGAATGAAATTACTTTCTGAAAATAAATTAGGGTTCTCATAATATAGGTTGAAGTCCCCTTACACGGACAGAAAGGTTTCCAGTACTTTTTAGAAGGAAACCATATTTCAGATAAAATCCAGAAAAATACGGGATAGGGTCAAAAATTTCACAAAGAGGTAGTCTCAGTTGTTGGTTCAAAACCATGCATTTTTTACATGCATAGCACATAGGATCTGTGTAAAAAGGGGGTGGGACTTTAATCATGGATTTGCGGCTGCTGTCTTATCTTTTTTGCCCCTGACCCAGTTCGTTGCATTTCTGTTTATTTACAAATATTTATCTACAAAGAGGCAAATGCATATTTTATATTTATAGCAGCAAGTGACAGGTGATCCAGAAATATATACAAATAGTGAGCTCATGGAAGTCTGAAATACAACATTTCCACAATGTCTTCTTACCCACACAAACTTGTTAGCAGTGTTTCTTCCTACAGGCATGTGGAAATCTGTTCATATACATTGCCTTCAACCTTCAATAATTTACTAAAGTCAGAGAGGAGAGCTTTTTTCCTAAGAGGTTTGCATGATTGCCAGCAATATATCCAAATCTGAATGTACACTTTTTTACATTAGAGTGATTTAGCTTCTTAAAGGAACCATTAGCATCCACTACTTACTGCCTGCTTCTATGTTTCTTCAGTGAAATGCCATTACCAGCAGAAGTATTTGCTTTCTCAAACAAAGGACATAGTATTAGTTTGATTATAAAAAGTTATTCTTATCCAAATTGGCAATAAAGCAATTGCTGTAAAAGTATGATTTGAAGTAATATGTCAGAATTACTGCACCAAATATTTCTTTTTTTATATTTCTTTGGAATTATTCATGAGATGAGGTTATATGCAATGCAATTCATATTTTTTGCCTTATGGCCCAAATGCCCACTTTTTATCAGCAATTCCTTTAATAGTGTCATGAAAAATCCAGGATCACCATCAATTCAATTTCTCAGAAATTGCCACCTGATATCTGTCCTGTTAACTTGAAGAGAAAGTAGATGTCATGAATATCAATCCTCCCTAGCTCTCAGAATTGTAAATATTAAGGTTTCCCAAACCTGGTAAATCCTAGATATATTGTATTTCAGTTCCCATTACTTTAGCCAGCTAGTCCACTGCTCCATTAGATAAGCATGGGGAATTTTAAAGATTTATTTCCATGTCTTATTTTCTAAACTTGCATTCTGATATGTAGTTGACCTCTGAGTGATATAGGGATGGTGCAACATTTTTTAAACCACTCTTTTGGGTATGGTTTACAATATTGCAAAGTTAATATTGAAATCACAATAGGCATCTTAAGGCATAACATTATTTCTGAAAGTTCAAATCATAAATGTAGATATAACATGGGAATGACTGATGTTGGGTGTCTCACCAAATGAACAAGTGCCACTTTTATTGCAGGGGAAAAACTGGTGTAAATTTTCTATGAATAATCAAGTGGAAGTCATTTTTATTCTACCTCTTGAGCAGTTATTTAATGCATAATAATGTCTATGAATACCAAGGATGAGTTCTGAACTAACCAACTATATCTCCCTCATTCACTTTTCTTCTTTTCAATGATAGCAATCTTGTTAAATGATTGATAAAATGTAAAGAGAAGCAATTATTGTTAGGTTGTAGGAGGTATAAAAAGGAAATATTTAGATCTGAGTTTTCCCCTAGACATTAAGGTTCAGTTGAGGGGAATCCCTTTCTGGTTGTTTTGTTACAATGCTTGGTCACAATTTTATATTTTGCTTTTTCTGTTTCTTTCATGTGGGATGAGATTTCTCTTCCTTTATTACAAATGTCTATCAGAATAGAATAGAATAGAATAGAATAGAATAGAATAGAATAGAATAGAATAGAATAGAATAGAATAGAATAGAATAGAGCTGGAAGGGACCTTGGAGATCTTCTAGTCCAGCCCCCTGCTCAAGCAGGAAGTCCTACAGTATACCATCTCAGACAAGTGACTGTCTAGCCCAGGGGTAGGCAACCTTGGCTCTTTTATGACTCATGGACTTCAACTCCCAGAATTCCTGAGCCAGCATGGCTCAGCTTGGAAACCTCTCCCTTTCCCCTCAGCATGGCTGGCTCAGGAATTCTGGGAGTTGAAGTCCACGAGTCATAAAAGAGCCAAGGTTGCCTACCCCTGGTCTAGCCTCTTCTTAAAAATCTCCAGTGATGGAACACCCACGATTTCTGGGGGCAAGCTGTTCCACTGGTTAATTGTCCTCACTGTCAGGAAGTTTCTCCTTAATTGCTTCTCTCTTTGATCAATTTCCAACCATTGTTTCTTGTCTTGCCTTCTGGTGCTTTGGAGAATAGTTTGACTCCCTCTTCTTTGTGGCAGCCCCTCAAATACTGGAATACTGCTATCATGTCTCCCCCATTTCTTCTTTTCTTTAGACTAGCCAGACCCAAGTCCTGCAGATGGATACACAGTAGGCTAAAATCTGCACTTGATGAACGCTGATCATCCGTTCATATCAACTAGTATTAACTCCGGAGCCATGGAGTTCTTGACTTTTTACTTTCAAGATTTTTATTTAGGATATGGTTAAAGAGATGGCGGAAAGTGCTAGTCTAATTCATAGAAGTTGCAATTCAGGTGAGACAGCTAATACTTTAGAACAGTTTCTCAACTTTGACAACAGAAGTGTGGACTTGAACTCCATTTATAAATTGAGTAAATAAATAAATAACTCCCCAAATTCCCCAGCATAAATCTGAAAGTTACCAAGGCTGAGAAATGCTACTTTAGAAGATGAAAGCAAAATTTAACACAATCCTGTATCAATGAAGAATTTTGATTAAGAGGAATTCTGAAGTGTTACAATTATTACAGGGCTCGTATGTCTATGAAAACTTCAGGCATAGTTTTATAAAATACTGAAAGCCATAGAAATGTTAACTTCATTTTGATTATTAATAGTGAAAGACATATACAGTATATCCTGCTTGATTATATCAGCAAGATTTAGAATCTATGACAACAAAAACTGCATATTTCACACACAGCTAAGAGAATCACCATACAACATTAGAGGGAGAGATCTATAGTGATTGGCAGCAATGGATTCCTGATGCATAGCTTGTCTTCAAACATCTAGATGAACACCTGATGGCAGCAAAAGTTAAGAATTTTCTATATTTCTCTGATGAAATCTGGTGATTGTCTGGAGATTTGTAGCCTAGATAACCTTGCATACATATTCTTCCTGCAAAGGAAGAAGAATGTTGTGCTACCTGGTCAAATTTGGGGATATTGATTTGCTCATGAGATAAACATTGAGGTTTTCTCTTACATGGTCATTCTGTAAAGTATAGACACACTTTTTGCACACTAAAAAGATGTTGACATGTAATAGCCTCAGGTAATGAATAAAAACTCTTATGTCTTTGTCTAGCATGGCTTGGCGATTGCTGGGTATTAATAGACAGGATTAGCAAATGCAGCAGACAGCAAAGCTCCTACTTTTTGCCTTAGCTTCCTCTTTGCTATCAGTCTCAGGCTTGGCTCCAAAGAATATAAAGCAGTGGTTTGAAATACATAAAGCTCAACTTCCTTCTGTGTGGCTTATCCTGGAAGTGGGGGAAAACAACAAATTCTGGGTTCTAGGAAACCTGAAGATGTCTTTTCAGATTTCTGCTCAGGCACCCTGGAGAAACAACAATCTTACTTTTTTAAACAAAGACCACCCACTCTCTGAACAAGGAGAAACAATTATTGGCTTTTATCTGCTCGCTCTGGGTACGTACGGTTATGGTGTCTCTTCACTTTATGAAATGAAACATATAGGAAAAGTTTAAAATAGACTACTATATTAAAAAATAAGAGTCCATTCTCTTTCCTTGTGCAGTTGTTAGGAGAGCAAAACAATAATTTATGTTTATCTTAAAGTAAACAAGAATTTGGAAAGGGGGGGAGAGCAAAACAAGATTATCAATTCAGTATGCTATTCAGGTAAATTGGATTAGAAACTGATGATGTTTGAGCTGCAAATAGTTTTCTTTCCAAAACTAAGCTGTTTGATGTGACCTTTTCCCAAACCATTTGCATGAGTGCTAGTCTGAGTCTATTGTTTCTCAAGAATTCTTACTTGTAACCTTCTCAAGGTTATCTGAGGGTGATATCAAGAGTCAAGTTGACTGCTGAGCCATGTATTCAAAACCCAAGCTGTTTTTGCTGTTTTGCAGAGATAGAAGCAGGTGGTTAGTTTCCTAGAGGGATACCATTTGTCTGAAATAGTATAGGGATTATTACCTGAGCAGGGATATGGACTAGAACAGAGGTCCCCAACCTTTTGGGCATCAGGGACCGGTTCTGTGGAGAGAGGCTTTTCTGTGGACCAGAGTGTGTGTAGTTTTGTGTGCTGCCTGCATCCCATCGATTGGGCTTTGCTTGTTTGTGCGGACCAGTTGCCAGCATGCTGCAGTCCAGTACTGCTCCACAGACTGGGGGTTGGGGACCCCTGGACTAAAGACCTCCAAGGTCCCTTCCAACTCTGTTATTCTATTCTATTCTATTGTATTCTATTCTATTCTATTTAATTTTGCCTGGCTTCAACTGGCAGACAGAACTGGAATCAATCAGGCAAGCTCAGAAAACTTCAATAAGGAAGTATTCATTGAAGAAAGTATGGGAAACCATTACCAAAAAGGGGAGGAGCGATGGGGGAGGGACAACCATGGTGGGTTAGGTGGGGGGGGGTGGGCAGGTGAAGCAGCCAGGCTCAGGTGGCTGAGGCCAATTGTCCCATTCTGGATATTTACAAAATCAGCCATTACATTATTTTGATCCTCTTTGTCGCCCTACATAATGGGCAATGGCCCACTTTCTGTCTGTTCCTTGGTTTTTGTTGGTTTTTGTTGGTTCCACCCCTGCCATTGGTGATGTTTCTCTCTGACTTTGTGAGAATTAATTTTGTTTGATAAAGCAATACTACAAAGAAGAGAAGAACTAGTAAAGGATATTCTAAGGATAACTATTGCAGCATTTGAGAATTTACATATTCAAGTAGATGTGGCTACTTCAATGGGTGGGACACAGATGCTATATTTCTGCACACCCCAAATTATCTTTTGAAATTCAATCTGAAGTGCTGCCTTACATACTTGTATCTAGTAGAGTAATTTTGCATTTCAATACTAAGTATTTCAGCATTTTAATCATTTAGAATTTTAATATGTCTATAATTTTCTATTTTAGCCATTTATATTTATAAAATATATTGCATATATTATATAAATAAAATATATTTTATATTTTACATTTATTTTTTATTATTTTGGTATATGTGTTTGCCTTGTATTTTGGTCATTTTATTCAAATTGTTGTATAAGTTGTTTTATTTACTGTGGTTCCTTTTATTCTTTTCTTGGATTATATAGCTTTTGCTATTCAACAGTTTGAAATTCTAATTAGCTCTTCAATAAAGAAAATCATAATAGTACAAAATGCCATACCTCAGTTAACTTTGGTGAGCCCAATATTTCTGAAATGTCTTCTGCTCCCAGATGTGAGGTCTAATAATCTAAAGGAGGTATTTTGACTGATGTTCCTTTTAAAGTATTGCAAAATATTCAAGAAGAGGAGGCATATAACAGATTGTCTTTTATAATCCTTTACAGTGTTTTACATTGGAGGCTTTTAAGAAGAGACTGGACAGCCAATTTTCTGAAATGGCATAAAGTCTCTTGCTTGAGGAGGCGGCTGGACAAGAAGACCTCCAAAGTCCTTTCCAACTCTGTTATTCTGTTATTACCTTCACATGCTTTTGATAAACTTAAACTTTCCTTTACAGCAAGTGCAATATACATTTTAGGAGGGAAGTAATTACACGAATAGCCCCTCAATAGGAAATTATTTACGCTGTCCCCAAAGAATCCCTAAGCAGAATTTGCCTTGGTTTATATGAATGCATATATTTGAAATATTTGAAATATATTTCAGATATTTTATTTAATTTTACATTCCAGGTTGGATGTCTTGGATTGGGAATAGCATTGTAATTTTTGTACTATATAAACAACGAGCTGTTCTTCAACCCACGGATTATCTGACATTTAATCTGGCTGTATCTGATGGCAGCATTGCTATCTTTGGTTATTCCCGTGGTATCATTGACATTTTCAATGTGTTCCGAGATGATGGCTTCCTTGTTACATCAATATGGACTTGTCAGGTAAGCAGTCCATTAGATCTATTGTGGAATTATGAGAGATAAACATCACACAATATGAAGCCTGCTATCAGGAGCGTTCACCAGGGATTGTCAAAATTTAAGATGATGACAGAGCCTATTAAATCAAATCCCTATTTGTTTTTTATAGTCTCTTGTTCCATTTTGGCAACATATGTAGGAATAATAATAATAATAATATTTCAACTATCAAGCATAAAGTGTTTAGACACACATTAGACAAGTCACAGAGCCATTGCCTAAGCAACTAAAACTTTATTTTTATATTTCTCCAATTATACTGTCTATTCATCTACCATCTACTTCTAAAATAGAGGTAGTCCTTATTTAATGATGGCTAATTGGGACCAGGAACTGTTGTTGAATGATATGGTCATATAAGACAAAAATCATGTGAGTGCCACTTAGCAATGGTAGTTCCAGCAGTCTCAATAGCCATCATTAAATGATGACTGTGCAGGTCATTCAGCAAGGACCTCACATGATCACAACTTTCATCTTTGCCTTATGTGAAGTTTTCAAGCAGTGTAATTCAAGAATAAAGCAAGGGAACGCCACATCCACATGCAAACACACCCATACACTTATATTTAATACACATCATTAAGTAACAAATATCATTCTTACATCATGTTTATCTTAAGATGCTAAAAGAAATATTTCATTTTTAAAAATTTCATATAAAACTGTTACTCAGATTACACAAATATTGAATTAAAATGGATTCAATTATGTTATAGAGCCTTAAATAGAATATATGGAAACTTCTGCCCATTTTGTAGTTGAAGAAACCATTTCACTGACATTTTTTAATTCAGAAGGATATGTTGCCTGCTACCTAATTTGTGGCATGAAATTGTCAAATCCTTCTCCTGTTAATGTTTCCTTTGTGGAACATTTGTGCCAACACTTAACAAGGAAATTGAACGCATGAATTAGCACCTTTTATAAACTGTAGTTAGAGTATGCTATTGGATGTTCTTGAGAGTTCAATATAGAAAGCAAGGAAAATATATTGCAGAAAAACATACACATGTGCACATGCACACACATACACTAGCATAGCATAGCATTGCATTGCATGCACAGGATGACCTTAGTCTATAGTCAATATTGAATATTGTAAGAGGAGAGCCATGTTAGTCTAGAGAAGGGGTAGGCAACCTTGGCTCTTTTATGACTTATGGACTTCAATACCCAGAATTCCTGAACCAGCCATGCTGACTCAGGAATTCTGGAAGTCCATAAGTCATAAAAGAGACAAGGTTTCCTACCCCATGGTCTAGAGTAACAAAAAAATTTGAATCTGGTTGCACTTTTATGACCAACCAGTTTTATTTAAAAGGCATAAACTTTTATGAGGTACAGCTCACTTCATCAGGTGCGTAGAATGGCTATACTGATATAGGATTTAAATTGGGGTAAGGTAAAGGGGAGGAAGGGAGAGAAATACAAGTTAGTTATGAAGATGCAGAGAGAGTTCACAAGTACCATTTCAATTAACAAATTATAATGTGTTAAAAATCCATTCTGTTTGTGAACTGTCTCCCTTAAAGTGCTTGATATAAAAAAGAAACAAGAAAAAGAGAGAGGGAGAGAGACTAGGTAGCAACATCAGTGCTAGTGAGAGTGGGGTTTGTTTCCTGACTATATACATACTATATACAGTATGCTTTCTAGTTTTGGTGGGTATGTGGTTTTCTCCGTGGTAGTTCTTTGATTAGGGTATTCTTTTTGCTTGATTGTTCTTCAGGCATTAATCTCTTGTTATCTGGGTATTGCTTGCTGGAGAGGATGCATCCTTTTGTTTTCTTCTTAAGTTTTGTGTTGTCTTTTTTGAATGGTGGGTAAATATGATTTATCTCTATGTGTAGATTGACAGCAGATTTGTCTGAAAGACAAGCTTCTAGGTATTCTCTAGCTCTTTTGATTTAGTTTGGTCTAGGATGCTCATAGTTTCCCAGTTGAAACTATGGTTAAATCTGTCCATCTGTTGCAAGATTAAGAAGTGTTCACCATGGCTTCTGACTGCTAGTTGACACTTATGGATGTGCTTTGCTAGTCTTCTGCCTGTCTGTCTTACAGAGTAATTGCTACAGTCCTTCTATTGTATGTTGTAGATAACTCCTGTTTTTTTCCTCTTGGGATACTGGGTCATTTGGTTTACTTAAGATGTTTTGGAAGGTTTTAGTTGGTTTTTCTGCTACAGTGATGACATGTCATTGAAACAGTCTATTATCATTTTCATAGCTTGTGTTAGGTGGGTATTCCTCTGATTTATTGGCATATTTGTCCATCAAACTGAAATTAGGTGGTGAAGCAGAGGTTGATATGACCTAGTGGTTCGTGATCTCCTACAATGATAAGTTAGGAGGGCCAGATTATTTATTGCCGCCTGTCCAAGTCCACATTATCGTATTATGTTGATGTCTAATTCATTGAATTTGATCATAAAGTATGTTCCTTCCTACCAATAACTTTAAATCTTTTTTCATGGCTGTCCAAGTTCAGGACTAGCTCTAAGTACTGTTGCCAGTGCATCAAAACTGATTTTGAGCAACTGAAGCAGTAGTTCATTTATTGGGTAGGTGCAGGGCTTTTTTTGTCATAGAACGCCCAGAACGGAGTTCTGGCACCTTTTTTGGATGGAACCTTTTAGGGTAAGCAAGGCGAGTTGTATGACATGTGTGAGTTCTGGCACCTTTTTTTTTTTTTTTTACAAAAAAAACACTGGGTAGGTGTAATACTTTGCTCAGCAACAAAACACAGTTTGTTCTGCCAACATGGAATATAAAGTCAAATGCAAAGGAACAGGCTGAAACACAGAATGATCTTATCAGAGAAACAAATATTTTGCAAACATCAAACCTCAGTTCAAAGGATATTTTCTGAAACGTATCTCTGATAAATGCTAAGACTATCATGAGGCTCACTTACAATTCAATATAGACAGGCTTACCCACAAAAGTGATGTTTTATTTGATGTACATTTCACTTGTGCTCATTGAAACAGTAAGATGCAGCTGCTAGTGAAGGCAATATTGGTACAGGCAATAACACTAGAAACTCTGAACATATAGGACTTTGACAACAATTTCTAAAGAGAGCTACTGTAAAAATTAATTATTCATTTAGTGACCAAAACTGCAATCTTATATGTTTAACAGTAAATCACCTCCTAAGCTCCACAAGTTTACATCTGATTAGAGGAAAACTATCAGTCATGCCATCAGATATTGTCATAAATAATGTACAGTAAGACATAACTTTTTCACATTAATTCAAAGAGTGTTCATAATTCAAATGATAGAAGACAATGTGCATCCATACACTGACTAAGAAGCCAAAATTTCTTATATATCCACACAATCTTGGAGCCATTCAGATTAAGCAAGATCCTGTAGTGGGGACCTTGTGGTCCTCCAGATTTTGGAAAAATCAGACAGCACCCTCTGCTCTGTGCAGCCAAATATGAGGAAATCGCACCCATGGCTTGGACCTATGGGAGTAAGCTTATGTAGCGGGGCTGTCTTAGAGTGTTTGCAGGCATTTGGCTGGGAAAGGAGAGATTGGGACAGCTGCTGCTGGTTTTGGGTGTGGCAGGGGTGGATGAAGGGAAAGGATAGAAAAAGGGAAGGAAGGAAAGGGAAGGGGTGGCTGTTGGAGTTCGTCAGGTGAAGGTAAAGAGGGATTGAGGTTTTAAGCTGACCCCTTCATGTGGAGGAGGGGGAGAGAGAAAGAGAGAGAGAGGGAGTAGAATTTTATTGCTTTCCTTCATAAAGAGGATATCTCAAATGGAGGTGAGAGAGAGTGTGTGGAAAGGAAGTGGCTGGGGCTGTTAGCCTGGGACTTTTAACAATAAAGATAAGGGGGGAAGGTTTTGACGCTGAGACCTGACTGAGAAGAAGCAACAGAAGAAGAGAAGAGACTGGTCGTACCTACTGTTGTTGTGAAACCTGGAGGCTACCTGGACTGTGACTACTGCTGCTTGTACAAGTTTTAGACTTGGTGGGGAGGAGGAAGCAAGCCATTACTATAAGCACGCTGACTGCTTTTGTTTCTACTATTGCCTGGAGCCGGGGTTTTCCTCCACCCAACTTGATCTTGAACAGTCATTGAGGAATCATTAACTATTGCTGCTACAACAGCCTTGGCCAGTTGGATACCATCACAGCATTGACTATTGGGGCTGGGGGGGGGGAGGCTGGTCATCTTTGTTCTTGGAAGCCCCTTCTTGATGACAAGAGCCTGCTACTTCCTAACTCTGCCTGAGCTCCGGTTATAAGAGATACCTTACCAACCCCTAGAGAATACAGCAGCAGAGCTTGACGAAGGGGGGCGGAGCTGGGAGGGCCTGGGCTTTGGCAGTCTCTGAGGAGGTAACGCTACACTTAATACTGGTATTTTTGTTTTTGTTTCAGTGCTTTTCATCTTCCATATTTTTTATTTCATTCAGTTATATTTGATTCTTTGGACAAGTCCCTGCACTTTTTTTGTCAAAGCTTTGCTTGCTTCTTAGAGCTAAGAAGAAGGGACTGGCCCAAGTCCATCTAGCTGCTTTTGTGCCTAAGGACATTTCTAGTATAACTGCCTTCACCACCACACCAAACTGTCTCTTGGGATCCATATGCCAACATTTAAGTCCTTTGGGAGTTCAAGTTAAACTCAGGACATTAAAGGGCCAATATATATAACATTATTATCTCTTTTTATCTGAAACAGATTGTATTGCATCCTGCAAAAGTACACACAAGTCTGTGTTCTTGTGATTCAGGGTACTGTTGAAAGCACAGCAGCAGGACTATGATGGAGAGACAGAATAAAAGATCAATTTTCATGAAGAATTTTCATGAATTTTCTTGTTAATCATTTGACAGTCTTATCCCATTAATGTTTACTTGAAAATAATTTTTGTGGAGTACATTGGAAATTACTTCCAAGAAAACACAATTGTGGCTTTGGGTAATCTTCTTCACTTTATCCTGAGAGAAAATACACTGGACGTGAGTTCTGAGTATATAGGATTATGGTATTAATACATAAAGCATGAGAAGAAAATTGCATAAATACACTATGACAATTTTAGGGGTTGCTTTGCTTAACACAGAGACAATACATAGGTAAAAATTAATGAATCCCTATATTATAGAAAGAGCAGTCTTACTGTAAAACTGACAAAGACAAAAGCCTTGTCAGTTTTTTGTCTTACTGTAAACACAAAGACAAAAGCCAAGAGAATCAATAATGAAATTAGCTAAACATTCTTGATGTACATTCTTGTACAAAATAGTCATTACTTTCATCTTTTCTTTACTGAATAGAAAACTTCATTAAATAGAAAAACTATTCCAACCACAAATTTGGAGATGTTAAACCTAACAATGCTGCTTGATATTTGAAGAATAAGATTTGTTCTTGGAACAAATTCAAGAACATCAAATTCTTTCTGCCCACTGGCTGCATTTTTTTTCCTCCCAGTCAGTAATTGTATTGGCACAATATGCCAACCTATGTTTGTTTGGACTGTTTGTTTTTGAGTCTTCATGTGATCTCAAGCACTGGACAAACCCTATGGTTTGTCATGCAGGCTTTAAGGCTCAGTGTGTGGTATGATCCCATTAATTAAGCCAACCATGTTGCCAGGTGACAAAAACCATGCAAAAAGTTAGAAGTTGGCTCAAAGTCAACCACTTGTGTTTTTTTCCCTGAGTGCATTCTAAGGCGGAAACATGATTTGAGATCTTGCGCCAGATGACATAGGTTCTGAAAGGGAAATATTTATGCATTGCCCCAAAACAGATATGAACTATGGGGAAAATAAATATTAAAAATGACAATAATTTGAATAGAAATTTGCATATCTTAATATTTATATAAGCAGCATTTTAAATTAATTTCTGGAATGAACATTTCAGAGAAGACAAAGTAAACATTCATAATTAAGTTGGACTACTCCAGATCACTTACATCAGGGGTCCCCAAACTCTGGGCTGCAGCCCGCTAAAGGACCATGGCTATTCAGAATTGGCCTGCCACTCACAATAGTTGAGTTATGTGTGTGCATGCTGGCCCAACACTTGTGCAAGGGCCACCATTCATGCAGCTCAGTTCCCCCCAGACAGGCCACCAAGCCACAAAGGTTGGGGACCACTGATTTAGATCAGTTCTTGGATGTTCTTCAACCATCCAATTTGTTTAATAAACTACCTCGTAATTAATTAACCCTCACTGAATCAATAGTCGTATTAGTATCTCCTTTACATATAATTCCATATTACAGTTCAAATTAAATATAGTATATATTCCACTTCCTCTCAAGTTAAAGATGCTCTGCACATTTTAAAGAACACTCTTTAAAGAACACTCTAAGAATATTTTATAGAAAAATAAGTAGCTGTTTCTTTCAGTTATAGAGAAACAGCACATTTGGGAGATTGGTTATATTTTACACTATGCCCTTCTGGATTGACAGTGCCCAGTGGCATCCATGTGAGGTGTCAAAGAAGTTAAGATGATGGCCACAGCCATGAAATCAAAGCTTTTCTTGACTGTTTTTTTTACATCTTCACCTCCCTGGTTGCCTCTGCCTGGCATATCATACATTTTTCACAGCATGTGAATATTTTTTGTCATGAAAATATATATAGTATGACTAATTTTTTCTCTGTTTTTCTAATTCTTCTGAGCGTGCTTCATCCAGAATTTGCATTTTGAAATTTCTGTAAGTAACTTTTGTCCACAGCAAGGAACATGTCAAGAGCAAATAATCAGGACCATACGTTAAATTGCAATCAAGAAGATTTATTGTTCAAGTCTGTATATAAGAATCTAGTAAACTAAAATTCAATGCTAAATTGGCACTAGATAAGGGTCAATGGAATTTAACAACAGTTGGACTTAGAGTTTATGGGAATGTAACATTTCTAGGTTGACGACTCATTTAACTCTGACCCCTGGCTCTAGTGATTGTTCTCTTATAGAACAACGGTTACAAGTGGTTGACTTTGGCTGTTTCATGGTCTTTTTCCATATAGTTTCAAAATCTGCTTTCCCCCTTTTTCTATAACTTAGACAGTGGGTTTTCCTGTTCATTTAACACATAATTCATCCACATTGTATGCCTATTTTTTATTATTGTTGTTTAGAATATCTGCATATTCTCTGATTTAAACATGAAGACTTTCCTTGATGATACATCATTTTATTGATATATCCTGAATATTTGCTATTGCTCTTGGTACTATAAAACCAAGGGATGCCACTACTCTCTAATCCAGCATTTCTCAACCTTATCAACTTAAAGATATATAGTATGTACTTCAACTGCCAAAATTTCCTGGCTGGAGAATTTTGGGAATTGAGGTCCACATGTCTTAAAGTTATTGAAGTTGAAAAACATTGCTCTAATTTATTTATTTATTTATTTAGATTGATGGATTTCTGACATTGCTGTTTGGCCTCGCCAGTATTAATACACTCACGGTGATCAGTGTAACTCGTTATATAAAAGGGTGCCATCCTAACAGAGGTAAGAGATTTGAGAAATATAAAGTTCACTCAACTATATTTGCACTATTTAAAAGGTTTTTAAGAAATCAAAATATTTTATTTTTTTTTATAGACTCTTGTTCAAATATTTTGGTCAAAGGACTTTTTTTTTTTTGCAAGGATGGGCTGGTTAAACTAGCCGCATCTAAGAAGCTCCCCTATCTAAGACACAGTATTTTAAATGATCAGATAATTGAGTCCTTTCCATTTATGGTGCTAAAACTAATTCATGAAAATATAATTCCAAGATTTACCTCAGTGGTTGGTTTTTCCCTATTCTGTCCTGTTTAGTGGATCCTTGACGTCAATGGTTGAAAACTAACCCAGAAAAAATAATTGTCTTAGACAAAGGCATTAAAATAAAATGGGGCAGCCAGTCTTGCATTGTATCAATACGGCCAACGCTTTGCAGGGCTCCACACCCTACGGCTGATTTTGCCCTGCAAGGGGACCCTAAATGGGTTTAAAGTCGTCCCAGAGAGGTGATGAAGAAGGAGGGCCCCCCCCATTGATCACAGAATAATAGTGGTCGATCCGTTCAATCCAGGGGAAGCCCTGCAACCCGACAGGAGAAAGACTAGCCATGCTGACTAGCCCAAGCTACTGGCAGCCTAAGTCCAAAAGCACTAACCAGAACAATGGTGAATAGCGTGCTTGGAACTGGGTGAAAATATCGATCTTCTCTCTCCTAACTTGTAACTAATTTCCTGGAAAAGATCCCCAAGAAGCAAAAAAAATCTTTCAAAAGTGACCCTAACCCTTCCATAGATGAAAGTGGCGAATTAATGTTTATGGGGGACAGAAATATATTGAAATGAAGTTAATAATACTACAGTCTGAATAAATCTGAAAATTATAAATACTGTTAAGGTTTCACATTTGAAAGATTATTGATGAAACTATAAGAAAATAATTCTGTCTTAAAAGTTGGAAAATGAATAAATACTGACATCTAGTGGAGGATTAGAGCATAACTATAGCAGCATTGACTCAGAAATTGGCAAGATGCCCAGAAATAGAAAAAACTTATTCCTTTGAACCTCAGTGATTTTTAGCCAAATTAAAACAGCTGGGAACAGAGGAAAGAAAATATAACAGGGCCATCTACTACAGAGTAAGAACTACATTTGTTTTAAAAACGGCTGACCTTCTGTGACAATAAAGAATGAACAAACAAGTCAAATAACAGAACACAAACCAGAAGAAAGTGACTTTAAAAGAGAAGCTACAAATGTAGAGAACTACAACCTAATACAAATAGAAGAAAATCTATAAGACCTGGCCACAACAATGAAAATGGAAAAGATATTTTATCTTTCAGACTTCAAAACAAATTCGAGGATAAGAAAGAAGATCTAATATAATGGATTATAGAGCTGCCAGGAGAATCATTAGAGCCTGGGAGACAAAAAGCGTACATCCTACTCAACTTGTTTTTCCTACTCCCAACAACATTTATAAAAATACAAGAATCCTCTGGCAAGCGGAACATACTGACTTGGAAAGCTACTTGGCAAAAGGCTAGAGTTAGATTCAAGAGACTTGATTCAACTTACCAGATGAGTACTATATGATTAAACACTAGTTTGAATATGGTTAAAAGAATAGATAAATTTTGGATACAAAGGGGCCCTATGGTAAGAGGGATAAAATATATAAGTAGTATAGTATTTTTTATAATATATGAAATGTGAAAATATTGGGAGGATGTATGTGAATGAAAAGTTTGGATATTTAAAGGTAATCAATTCTGAGAAAATTATGACTGATAAGAATAGTTTGAATACTGAGGGGAAATTAGGCTTAAATAAGAATTTTGAAAACAGGACACATAGTGACTTAATAAAATGACTTTTACAAATACAATTGAAACATAAGCCAACTAGAAAAGATGTTATATATGGAAGATATTGTTATTTGTACAAACACAAGAAAAATGTTTGTATCCAATCTTGTATGTATCGAAAATATTAAGAATTATATTTGTTTAATGTTGACAAAGGAGAATATTACTGGAAGAAGAGAAGATCAATGAAATATACTCTTAATTAATATATTGAATATGGAACTATAGAAATTAATCATTATTGATTGTTTTTAAATATATGAACTCAGACAACACACTGTTTACTAAGTACTAAAGATTGTTATTGTAAAAAAATCAATAAAATATATTTTAAAAAATGGGGCAACGCTCTTAACAATCCCTCAGTGCTTCTCATGGTCTTCAGAAAGCCCTGGGTTTACTTCATAAAGTGATTAGCCTAGATGGGGAATGGGCTGCAGTATATCTCAGAGAGCTCTGATGTCTAGGAATTCCAAGAATTGCAATTCCAATAAAGTTATGCTCAGATGCCTAAATGTTAGGTCTGAATGTAGGATTAAGTGAAGAACAAATCCAATGCAAACCTGTTATAAACAAGCTGTTATTCCCCCCCCCCGCCGCCGCCATTATTGTCAGTATTTATATCACCCTCCTCACACATTCTTGTCAAATGTGTTAGGCTTCAGTTCCAATGCAGTTTGAAGATTATGAATACTGGCATCCAGCACACCTGAGCTATCAGGCTGGAGAAGCCTTCTTTCAATGAATTTACATTACATTTACTACGGTAATGAAAATGTTCATTGTTTTCATTAATTCAGGACAAAACCATAGATTTTTATTACATTTCGTTGTTTATATATACAGTTCATGTATACAATTAGAGGGTACCCACTCCAAATTATTCTAAATATCTTATATTTTAAAACAAGAAACAATAAAAAAAAAGAAATCACATGCATCCATAAAAACTATACAAACAAAGAAAAATCCCTGCAGTCTCGATAGTCACTCTGCCTCAAGGCCTAAAAGAATAGGCAAGACTTTCAAGACTTTCTGAACACCAAAATGGGAGCCATTTAAATCTCAAGGGGGATTCTCTTCCAGAGATCAAACATTGAGACAGAGCATGTGAGTCCTAATAGATATTATCAAGAGGACCCAGAAAGTGTCCATTCTGCTTAACCTTACTTGGCAGGTAGGACTATTAGAGATAAGATGTCTCTCAAATAATAATGCCCTATGCCATGAAGGCATTATAGGTGACAACCAGCCCATGAATTGCATCAGGAAGCAATATAATTAACCAATGTAGCTAACAAAGAAGTGGTGTTACATGGGCATCCTTCTTCTTCTTCTTTTTTTTTGGTAATATATTTTATTGATTTTTTAAAACATAAATCAATAATTGGTGAATAGTGTGTTGTCTGGGTTTACATTTGTAAAACAATCACTAACAATTGATTTCCATAATCCATAATCCACATAATGGTTTCAGTTGATTTCCTCTTTTCCCCAAAATGTTCTCTTTTGCAAACATTGAGTTAATACAATTCTTATTGTTTTGATAGATAACAATTAAATATATAATTTTTCCCAATATTCCTAAAAATAATAATCACATCAATATAGTATTTCTTTTCTATCCAATCATTCTAGTTGCCTCATCATAGATCCTGTTACAATCCTTATTTAAATTTGTTTCTCCCACAGAGTTCAAGGTATTCTTACTGGTCAATATTTTCTCAAAAATTAATTACATTTAAAAATTTAAGTCTATTTTTTCCATTTAATACATCTAGTCATCTGGTCCTTTAACTCTTATTCAAAACATTTTTTCTTTTTTTTAATCCATTATAATTTTCTTAAATTCAATCACATTTAAATATCTAAAACATTTATCTAAGCCATTTCAACTTTTTTATATTACTCATATCAAGAAATAGAATAAAAAAGAGGGGAAAGCATACTATATCATTTAAGGGATTTATCCCTCTTAGAATGACATATATATTCCAAATCTTTTCTATGTCTTCAACCATATTCAAACAAATGTTTCTTTTTTAAGTATTCTCTCTGGTAGGTCCCATCATCTGTTTTCTTGATTTCCATTTTAGTCTTTTTCCTTTGCCCAGTATCTTTCTTGATCAATGTATTTTGCTGAGTCAAAAGGTCTTTCCATGTGTTCATAACTGTTACTGTAGATATGAAAAGTAAATCAGGTGAAATGTCTTTGTACAGGGCTTTTGCCTTTCCATGTTTGTTGAAAATATTTTTCTTTTTCTTTCTCTCTGCTTCTCTTATCATTTCCTTTCTCTCCAATGTTCCTGACATCTCTATAGTCTATTTTATCCAATCTGTTTTCTTGTCCTCGGATTTATTTTGTAGTCTTAAGGGATAAGTTATTTTTTCCAATTCTTGTGAATTTTTTTGCACTAGAATTAAATCATGTTTCCTTGTTTTGTTAAGTTCCATCTTTAAGTCTCTATTCTCAATTTTGTATCCACTTATCTGTTTTATCTGCTCCTTCTCTGTTGTTGTTTTCTGGGAATTAGTTTTTTGTAGAGTTAACTTGGAAATAGATTGATTTATATTTTCAAAGTTATTTTGGATTTCTTTGTGGTTTACAATCGTTGTTTGAATTAATTGCAGTATACTATATATTTCCTCCTGAGGAATGTTTATGTTTTCTTGATATGTTCTTTCTACATGTCTCTGATCCATGATGACCAAACATTTGAGTTTTTGTCTTCTTTTCTTTTCTCTGCAAATACCCCTAGAGTCCCGGTTAAATAGATATTTGTAATCCAAAGAGTTCAAAAAAGATTTTTTTTCTGAAGTTTATAATTCTCTCTTTGTCAACAGCCCAGATTACTGTATTTCTTTTTTTTTGTCATAGCTGTTCTTTGTTATTAAAGCTTTAAAGATCACAAACACAGATTAGCTTTTCCCAGGTTTTGCCAAGTCCTATATGAAAGTCATAGCTGTCATAGTCATCATCCACCATTAGGTGTCAGCATCTGTTTTTTTTTCAATTTCCAAAATGAACAATTGTCTTTAGAATAAGAGTCTTAACCATTCAACAATTTTAGATTATCCAAAATTTAAATTTTAAATTTCAGGTTTATATTTATTTCACTTCCATATATTTTGATCATCCATAAAAAGATTAATTCGCCACTTCCATTAGTATATGGTTGGGGTGGAAATCCCCCTCCTTCCCTTCTGGAGGTATTTTGCTTCTTGGGAATATTTTCCAGGAAATTAAATATAGAATAGAAAAGAGAAGATCAAATTCCTCACCAAGTTTCAAACACGCTGTTCACTGTTGTGCTCATTAGTACTTTTGGACTTCGGTTGCAAGTAGCTTGGGCTGGTTGATGACGTATGGCCAGCCTTTGTTCTGTCGGGTTAGAAGGCTTTCCCCAAGTCAAACAGAATGATCACCCTCATTCCAGAATCGCCGGGGCACCCTTCTTTCTTCACCGCCTCTCCAGGACAACTTAGACTCATTTAAGGTCCCCTGGCAGGGCAAAATTAGTCACAGGAATACGGAAAACCATAAGCCCGTGACCTGTCACTACCGCACAAAACCGGAAGTCCTATATGGGCATCCTATGGCACGCCCATTGTTGCCCATATCACTATCTTCTAGATCAGCGGTTCTCAACCTGTGGGTCGCGACCCTTTTGGGGGGTCAAATGACTCTTTCACAGGGGTCGCCTAAGACCATCAGAAAACACATATTTCCGATGGTCTTAGGAACCGAGACACCACTCCGCATCCGTCTCCACATGGTCTCCTCCGACATTTGCAGAGAGAGAGAGAGAGAGAGAGAGGCACTTTCACTTCCCTTCTCTCTCTCTCTTTCTCAGGCAGACTTACCTCCTGCAGGGCTCCTGATTGGCCCTGTGCCCAGGTGCCCCACCCCCTGGGAGAAGCGCGGCCAGGGCCTCATGGCCTTGGAGCCACCTGGGGAAGCCCCGGGATCCTCCTCCCCTTCTTCCTACTGCCCTGAAGGCAGCTCGGGCAGGCGCAGGGACAAGAGGGGTGCCTGGGGGGAGCAGCCAAGCTGGCAGAGGGGCTGGCGGGCCATGCGGCACCAGCCCCCACCACGGCTCCATCAGATAAGTGGAGGGTGAGGCCGGGCAGCGAAGGTGCAGCGGGGACAGCAGCAGTGGTTTTCTTGCCCTTCTCCTCTCCTTCTTCCTCCTGCTGCCCCCAAAGTGGCTTGGGCGGGCGCCGGGAGGAAGAGGGGTGCCTGGGGGAGCAGCCAGGCTGGCAGAGATGCTGGCGGGCCTCGCAGCACCAGCCCCCACCGCGGCTCCATCAGATGGGCGGAGGCCAAGGCCGGGTAGCGCGGGGGCAGTGGGAATAGTGGCAGCGGTTTTCTCGTCCTTCTCCTCTCCTTCTTCCTCCTGCTGCCCCCAAAGCAGCTCGGGCGGGTGTTGGGAGGAAGAGGGGTGCCTGGGGGGAGCAGCCGGGCTGGCGGAGGGGCTGGCGGGCTGTGCGGCACCAGCCCCCACTGCAGCTCCATCAGATAGACAGAGGGTGAGGCTGGGCAGCGAAGGAGCAATGGGGATGGCAGCAGTGGTTTTCTCGCCCTTCTCCTCTCCTTCTTCCTCCTGCTGCTCCCAAAGCAGCTCGGGCGGGCGCTGGGAGGAAGAAGGGTGCCGGGGGGAGAGCAGCCGGGCTGGCAGAGAGTTGGCGGGCTGCGTGGCACCAGCCCCCACCGTGGCTCCATCGATGGACAGGCCAGGCAGTGTGGGGGCAGCGGGGACCCCTGATGATGCAGCAGTGGCCGCCACTGCCACAACCGCTGCCTTCCGTCCTGCTCCCCCTCCCCACCCATTCAGCTGAGGATGCGGCAGAGGCCAGGCTGGGGGCAGCGGGGACCCCCGACGATGCTGCCATAAGAGAGAGAGAGAAAGAGAGGAAAGAGAGAAACAGAGGAAAAGAGAGGAAAGAGAGAGAGAAAGAGAGGGGAAAGAGAGAGAAAGAGAAAGGGAGGAAACAGAGAAAGAGAGAGAAAGAAAGAGAGGAAAGAGAAAAAGAGGAAAGAGAGAGAGAGAGAAACGAGGAAAGAAAAAGAGGAAAGAGGGAAAGAGAGAGGAAAGTGGGAGAGAGAGAAGAGAGGAAAGAGAACGAGAAGAGAGAGAGGAAAGAAAGAGAAGGAGAGGAAAGAGAGAAAGAGAGGGAAGAGAAAGAGAGAGAGGAAAGAGAGAAATAGGAAAAGAGAGGAAAGAGAGAAAGAGGGAGGAAAGAGAGAAAGAGGGAGAGGAATGGCGCTTCTCCAACCAGGCTGGGCGGAGCCGGTAGAGCAACCTTCCTGCCCCCCCTCCCCGGCCAGCTGGAGGGGGGGTTGGGGGTCACTACAACATGAGGAACTGTATTAATGGGTCGTGGCATTAGGAAGGTTGAGAAACACTGTTCTAGATGAATTGTATTTTCAAAATAGTTTTGCAGGGCAGTTTTGCAAACTCAGCGATAATCTATCTATGAGTTGACTAGAGCATGAGTGATTGTCCTGGACGGATCTAAGAACAGACCCTATTAGCCACACCTGCCACCTGCTCTTCAATCATAAATTTATCAGTGCATAGTGCTGTAATTCTGTACATTGCTTATGTGGATGGCCTTATTATAAAAATCAGTGGGGATTACTCTCAGGAAAATGTGTGTAAGAATTCAGTAATCCTAATGCAAAACTTGTTCATTCCAATGATACGAGGTATACCCAAATCTGTGGGGTTCTTGGTACTCTCTGAGCTTAGTGATTTTCTAGCAGATGTTTCATTACCAAACTAGGCAACATCATGATGACGTCTGCAAGAAAACCTCCAAACTCAGAGAACACCAAGGACCCCACAGTTTATCCCTGTGCTACAAATATTCTCTTCTATTGGTACCCAAATCTCTTTGTTTATGGGCCATAGTTGTTATTTAATTTTATTTATTACATTATGAGTCTTTGTGGATATTGGATTTAAAGAACATAAAAGGCATAAAAAGAATGTCCTGTGTCCTGACCAACCACATTGCTTTTATTGCTGGATGAGTGGATATTCTAACTCATATTCTTAGTTCATTAGAGGCTTCGGTGAAATATTTTTTCTTCAAAGTTAAATTGGAAGACATGATATAGGCAAATAAACACAGTTATAATTCAAGTATGTTTTGCATGATATTTAATCCTCCAAAATATACACAATTGAGAAATCAAATCATCTTGAAATTCTAAACGCAGTATGAGAATTTGGATTTCTTTATTTATTTTTATAGGTAGCTCAAGGAGGTGAATATACATAATATGCCTTCCTCCTACTATTTTCCCCAAAAGAACAACTCTATGAGATGGGATGAGTAAGTAATGGACTCAAAGTTTCCCAGCCAGCTTTCATGCCAAAAATGGTACTAGAACTCACAGTCTCCTGGTTTCTAGGCCAGCACTCTTAACCACCATATCAAACTGGCTCTCCTAATTTCTTGATGGAGCATTTATTATTATTATATTATTGTGAAAATGTTAAAAATCAATTTCTGGTGTTTATTTCAGTATATTGTATCAGCCTGAGCAGTGTCTCCTTTGCTATTTTTCTTACCTGGACAACAGCTTTCTTCTGGTCACTGGCTCCACTCTTGGGATGGGGGAGCTATACAGGTAATTCATTTTTTTAAATTATTCTGTGTGTCCAGGTATGGCTACCTTTGTTAAGGCTGTCACCAAATCAGCTATCAGTTCTGTATTGAAATAAGGAAGGAAGGAAGAAGGAAGTCACTGTGATAGAAATGTCATAGTCTTCCCAATAGAAAGTTCTTTGATTTCCCAACATACATTTCATTGTACTCTTTGACATGCTTAAGACATTCTAACCTTTCCTTCTAGTAAAAAAACCAACAACAACAGCAACCCAGCAGAGTAGTTTTTTAAAATGCAAAGTTAAAAATGACGTGTTTTGAAAACTGTACAATGAACCAAGTGCTTCTGCTTCCTAGACCGGATGTATGGAACATGTGAAATCGACTGGACAAAGGCCAATTTCTCAACCACATATAAGTCCTACATTGTCTCAGTGTTCATCTGCTGTTTCTTTGTCCCTGTGATAGTCATGGTTTTCTCATATACGTCCATCATCAATACAGTTAAGTCAAGCCATGTATTAAGTGGAATGGGAGACCCAACGGATAGGCAGCGGAGGATGGAACAAAGCGTTACCAGGGTAAGGTCTGGCCTTTTCTTCTCTTGCTGAAAAAAATTTGCAAACACTCCATTGTGATAGCTATCATATCTGGTCAGCAAAGATATGGTGGACAGATCTCTGCTGCCATTCCGTGGTCAATCTGGATCTTTGCAGCCCAGATATGGTACTTTTTCCATATATTATTTTCTTGCTCTCTGTGGTAATCCATAGCAATGCAGCATAAGGCAATATAACAGATATAAATAGAGAATCATGACGTGGATTTATTAATTGATTTACAGTATATTTAGACTGACAGTTAGGATAAGAAACCATGCTGAATGAAGGGCTTTTAGGATAAATGCATAAAACCATTACAAAAAGGCCTTTTCTCTTATCCCAACCAATCTGAAAGCCAAAACAAAATTCGTAGTACACTTAAATGCAGCTGAAGAGTAGGTCATAAAAGACTTTCTAAATTATATGCTCTGGTATTTACTATGAATAACAGGGTCAATCATGTGGGTCACAAAAGTCAAGATGGCTGTTCTGTCCCAGCCTACATGAGTCCTTGTACTCACGAGGAGAAACCCCTCTTCCAAGAAACAGGCAGGAACTGCAAGAAAAAACCAATCCCTTTTATTCTCACAGACCTGAGTCAATGTCCAAGGCAAACAAACACAGTCCATGGAAACTCGATCCAGCACCTCCCATACCTTCCCCTTTTATAATTCAGCCAAGTTGTGGCTTCCTAATGCCTTCTCCTTTGCCTTTGGAGCCACCCCACTGCATTCCTCTGTCCCACTCTCTTCTCCTGTCTGCGCATTTGTGCATCTGAGATTTATCCCAGCCGTTCCTCATCGCTGTCCAACTCAGGCTCCCAGCACAGCTGTGTCTCAGCGTGATTAGAGGGGCCAGGTTCCTTTGTCCGATTGTAAGTCTTGGAGCTCCTCAGAGCCTTCCTCTGACTCTGATGTCACTCCAGGCCCCTCCTCCTCATCTGAGTCCTCAGACTCAGCTGCCAGATCCACTGGCTGGCGAGGAATCACAACAATGGCAGCTACAACTGCATGATTGATGCCTTGTTCCTTTTTTAATGTATTGTGTGTGCAATGCTTGTGAAAAAGGACCAGGGCTTCTATCAGGGACTGCAGCAACCAACTTGATGTCATGGTTCCGACTAACGAAACACTTCAAAGAACTTCCAGGCATTGTTTAACCTAAAAAGTCTTTAATTGTGAAACAAAGTGTCGGCACAGCATGGTGGATGCCAAGATCTGAATTCCCCTCCCCCGAGCACATAATATTCAATCATAATTCCCTCCTCTAATTTGCAGTCATAAATCACGTTCTCCAATCAGTTTGAAGGGCAAAGTTTCCCTTCCGTTCTGTAGCCTGTGGTTTTTTATCTTAACCAATCCTCACACACATTCTTTCTCCTCCTCTCCCAGCATCATCTAATTTAACTCTAAAAGTACCACACAGCTTATACAGAGAGTGGCTGCCTCTTCATATTTTGTCAAAGCAAGAACATTCAATGTTAGCAGCTTTGACATCCGCCCCCCCCCCCGTACAAAAAGGGTAGATCCTGTATGTAAACAAAGCATACGTTAGGGACTATCTCTCAGTTTGTTGGGGTGTTTCTTGTAAAACCTTTTAATGAATCTGTCAGCTTCATTCATCTGGACAACAAGAACTCCTTCCATTTGTCAACGCTGCTAACATTGGATGTTCTTGCTTTGACATTTTACTTTTTTTTACCCCACTGGTATGCAAGTGCACAAGCTGGGAGAGCCAGCTTTAGGCTAAAGCCATGTAAGCTCTGGCTTTGGACCCCAAAGCTTAGCAAGCCCCTTCTTCCGAGTTGTTGATGGAAACCAGCAAGTCTCATTCTTCCATTTTCTCTCATCTAGATCTCCCTTGTTGTCTGCACTTGTTTTATTGCTGCCTGGTCCCCATATGCTGTCATTTCCATGTGGTCTGCTTGTGGTTACACTGTCCCCAACTTGACCAGCATCTTTGCCAGCCTTTTTGCAAAATCTGCCAGCTTTTATAATCCCATCATCTACTTTGGGATGAGCTCCAAATTCCGAAAAGATATCTCCATCTTCTTCCACTTTGCCAAAGAAATCAAGGACCCCGTAAAGCTCAAACAGTTCAAGATCCTCAAGCAGAAAATGGACAACTCCCCATCTCAAGGAGAAGAGAAGAATGCAATAAATGCACAGCCTGTCCTGCATTCTGATTTAGAGAAGGGGAGTCATTCTAATACGCCTCCCCCAGCAAATAGAGAAGAGCGTTTGGTTGCTTTTGATAACTTGCCTTCAAATTCTGACATTGAATGTGATCGACTGTGATCAGGAGCATGGACATCTAATTAATGCAACACAGAGAATATGGATTTCTTTGAGTGTCCTTTCTCTGTCTCCACCTTGTCATATTAAAGCCCATTTGATTTTAAACAAAGTTAAGAGCTATGAAAGTAAGAACAAAATTGTAAGACTGATAACATTTCTTGGTAAGTGACTACATATGAAGTAAAACAGCACAGACATAATATGAATGGTATTTATTTCTCTTCTAGTGCTGAAAGATTGCAGGCAAAATATATTCTTGTACAATTCTTATTCTCTGGCAGGTTTAACAAAAATGACAAATTTACACTCCCCAGTCATAGGAATTAGAAGTTACATTTTTCTGCCTTTTTATTCCTTGCTTGGAATCCCATGTTGTTTTGTTTGTTCCACCAAAGCACAATATTGCTTTGATATTAAGGAAACTTTTGCCAACAGCATTTGAATGTGGCTCCACATTCAGCCACCAGAGGATGAACAATAATTAATGTTCTTACCAAATATACTAACTGCTACACAAACTGTCAGAAAATCAAGCAATTATTGACCCAAAGATTTCAACCAAGTTCTGGGGGTGGCAGTCTTGATTTCTTATTCATAACTGAAAATAAACTACAGTCAAAAGCTAGTTTATATATATTTAGGTAATACTTAAGAAAATAGATAAATTAGCAAATTTAAGGAAAGGAGAAATGTTTTTTTCTAAATATTCTAGAAATGCAATCCCTATCAGTCCATATTATTGTTGTTGTTATTACACTGCCTTTTTAATATATATCTTATATACCATTAAAATTTTCATTGTGCTTGTCTGTCTGTACTATGTTAGCCAAGGCTGCATTATACTGCAACATTTTTTTAATTAAGGCTCCTAAAATTCACTAACTTAAAGAAGGCATAAAAATCTAGGGCCCATTACTCCAGTGGAATTGAAGTTTCTGAAGATGTTCAGATCAGTTTTATTTGCAAAACTCTGGCTATTCCTACGGTCCCGTTTCTGCAAGTCAATGGGGACGCTGGCAGGAAATTGGAAGTCACTCATGCTCCAGCTGCTTTTTTGCTCATGGTTATTCTGTTTTATCTAGTCACATCAGACTGCACTGCCTTTCTCTCAAAGGATGACCCAATAGATCACTGGATTGTCTAGCAAGGGGTAGGCAACCTTGGCTCTTTTATGACTCGTGGACTTCAACTGGCTTAGGAATTCTGGGAGTTGACATCCACGAGTCATAAAAGAGCCAAGGTTGCCTACCCCTGATCTAGCATATCTATATATTAATATTCCTGCCACCCATTTCCCCACAATAACAACAATCCTGTGAGATGGATTGGACAGACAGAGAAAGAGAGAGTGAATAGTCCAGAAACACAGATCATATTCAGGAATATTTTGTAAAATATATATATATTATGCAAGATCTTTAAGGGAACTGGGTATATACCCCTGCCTTTAATAGAACCAATCAAAATTCCAAAAGGTAGAGGTGAAAACTTTTTGCCAAAAAATTTCACTGTAGTAGGAAATACCAAAAAAGGGAGGGGAGGAGGGGAGAAGGAAACAAAAGAGTAAAAAATTCTAGCTATGTGCTTTTAATAGTGATATGTATCTTGGACTATTGATGTTAACAATATTTTGGAACCTGAATTGAGAAGCAAAGATGATCACATTATACATTCTGCCTTGTTTTTGCTAACACAGCAGTTCAAAACAATGTGACAATCCCATCTTACATAAAAATCCTGACTGACAGAGTTTTTAGATTTTTTATTTAACCTTCCTCCAATACGTAGTCCAAGAACATGATACTTCCATGTAATGAAATGTTTGGGTTCATTTAATTCAAGTACCCATCCCTATAGAGGGTGCTGTTGCTTATGCTACCAAAAAAAACCCCAATAATCACAAGAAAATCTTAAGTTGAATGCAGCATGTTAAAATAATATGAATTATATTAAAACAGAATTGTACATGTATCAATTTTTGATGGAAAAACTGAAATCTGGGGTATTGCATTCACAGCATGGATGCAAAATGAACTTCAGTTAGTAGAAATTTAATACAAAATAATGTTGTGACAACTATGTAGCATTAATTTTTGGGCTAATGGATCTCTTATGAAATTCACAGCTAGATTCACATAACATAAAAATGGTGTTGTAAACCCAGTCAATCAGCAAATAGAAAACATCTGACATTGGTCTATATTCTTAACTCTTTTTTCTTTTTGTGCATTTATATGTGTCCATGACATAATATTGTTCCTTTGACTATTAAATGAATGGGTAGGGGAGAGAAACTACTAGCACTTTGCAAGCCAGTGGAACTGTATATAGTTCAGTAGGGAGAGGATAGAAGCCTCATGTGTTTCAACAAAGACTACATTTTTCTGCTTGTGATCTTTGGGATGATTACAAAAAAGGCTCACTTTCCTTCCTTAGTATATTTGTTTTAAGATTGTCATCTTTAATTTCTATTTCAGAACAAATAAACATTATAAGCAATAAGAAAGAACCACAGACAAACTGAAGGTATATTCATTTTAAGGAGAGAATGGGATAGTTCTCTTTTTTTCCCCTGCACTTAATTACCATCACTCTTAAAAATCTAATGGTATTTTTCTTCTCATGTGGAGCTTCATATAAGTGGCCTGAGTCAAGGGCACTGACTCTACAGTTTTTCCTTTGCTTGGAAACCAAAGCAGGAGGGACTAGTTAGTACAAACTATACATTTGCTGGAGATGTCTTCTCTCAACTATAGCACATAAAAAGTGCAGTTGTATGGATCAACACAACTTCTGTTTGTGAGAGCCAATCTTCTGCTTACTATTATAGCTACTCTACCTTCAAGACCAGATTATTTTGTTCTTTTTACTGATGAAATAGAAAGATGACACTGGTTTTCCTCAGGTCCACAGAATTAATGTGGTTGATTCTGGAACTCCTGAATACACTTTCTTTAAAAATGGATCAATATTCATCATAGACGATCTTTGAACTATTGGATTGGACTAGATGTCTTAGGATCTGGGAAAACCCCAAATGACTTCAGAATCAACAGCAGATTTCTATACTCATGCTTTCTCCTATCCTCAAAGCCGCCTTGAACCTATCACAATTACATTAGGCTTTTACTAACCAGGTGTGAGATAGTTTGTCTTTCCCAGAAAAATAATGGAAAACAACCAATTAATAAAACAAACAGAGTGTAAAAGTATTTGGGAATGAAGTAGAGAAGTAGTCAGCATCAATTTTCTGGTAGAAATAATCTTTGGAACAATTGCTTCTTGAAAAGATCTTGTTGAACTTAACAGCAGGGCTGCTGTTTGACCTCTGCATATTAAGCCATGACATTTCACAGTAGTCAACAAACAAGGAAGACAAAGACAGAGAGTAGATGTGTGGGGCTTTAATTAAACTAAATCCTATAGTGACATTCCTTCAACTTCAACAATGTAATCACAGAAATTGGTTATTAAAAATTCTCCTACCAGTTCCACCCAATTGCTATTAGAAAACAGTTAAGAAAGGTCAGGTTGCTTGAAGTAGAAAATAAAAAAAGGACTGCTGAGTTAGACCTTTAAAGGATCTGTGTTTTTGGTTTATGATTGCTTATTTAGTACTGTTATTTTCAGTTCAATTGGACCTAGATACACCTTTGGCACATATTAACCAAGAAAATGTCTAGATTGCATCAATTTCCTTTAAAATGTCTTCTAACTTATTTATTACTTATTTTGAGTAATATTTCTGCAACTCTTTCTATTAAATTCCTGACCAATTCAAGAGTATTTTCTGCTCACAGAAAGTTGCAAATGTTGTGGATTGTGTCCTTTGGGATTTTTTTTTTCAACTTTCCAGTTTAGCCAAGAGCCCTAATACTTTCCAGAGGTTTCTCCAGATTTCTTTCAGCAACCCTGCTTAGTTTTCAGGCTTAGACAAAGGTGGCCAGGTTGTCCACTACCAATGTTCTGAAAAAAGGTGATTCCAAACCACTTCCATATTGCTGCCCAAAACAGAGATGTGTCCTTGAAGTAATCAGGTGCCAAACATAACTAGATGGAAATTTTATCTATGTTTCATTCAAGTATTTTTACAATTCAATTTTTTGCCATATATTGCTTTATACTCAGTAACAAAATGGCCATTCATGGTTCCTTTTTTAAAAAACACAAAATAGTATGTAATTTTTTTCAGCATCCCATAATTCATCATCAGAAGAGATAGTACAAAAAGGAACAGCTTATTATTGTATAGATAATATTAGGATATAAGCAATATTATGTAGATTTGCCTAGAGACTGGTGCCAAGACAGCTTAAATAGGGCATATTAAGAAGGCTTTGTGTCTTAACATCACAGCAACAGCAACATATAACTGACCTTTTGATCTTCAATAAGTAGAACAGGGTCAGACCTGGTTAATCTCTTGATGGCAGATAATCAGGAAATATCAGGATTGTAGACTAGACAGGGATGTGAAAGATCAGAAGAAGATAATGGAAATCATTCCCATAATGTTATCAAGAAAACAGCAGGACTATATCATCATAATTACCAATATATAAGCTCTACTGGAGGGATATTTTATTTTATCTGCTTAACAAGATTTGGAGAGCTATATTCAACTTGTTAGATTTAAAACAACAAACATATTTTTAAAGTAAACTTTCAAAGAAGACTTTCACTCTTTACAATTTCTTCAAGTATCTTAAAGTGAATTTGAACCTGGGTGATATTTTATGTTTGTGTGTGTATAAATATCCTCAACCCTGAGCTACAAACACTTCCTTCTATCAGTGTACCCTTTCCATATCATTAGATTTTTACTGCAGACCTTGGATGGCATTTATGGAACTACTGCAAATATTTTAAACTAGTAACCTGTGTCAATATTTTTTGAGTTAGATTTGCAAAGGGATAACCCGCTAAAACATGTCTAGTATTTCTGGATCATTTTTGAATGCATACTTTCACAGTTATTTATAGGCTGGATTTTTAGCGCATAATATTCCCAAGATGTTTTATCAAAATAAAAATATAAAATACAATTTAAAACAGCACCATTATACCGACATCTGGGAAATCCAGTGAGGCTTTTACCAAAAAGAATGTGAAGACCAGACTTTTGCTCTGCAGCAAATCCTTGGGAAATGTGTATGAGAATGAAAATTACATTTACTGATTTAGAGCACAAATTCCCAAAATTCTCTTCCCTCCCTCCCTTCAACCCACTCCTCCAAGATCTTCCCAGTTCTTTAGATCTTCACTGGAAAAGTATTGCACTCTTTTACCACTGACAATTTGCTTAAAAATGTCATATCCTTGTGCCCTCTTGGAAATTGATAGAAATAAAGAATGCATATGAATATGTATAATGCTTACTGAATGGTTCAACATGGAGCAAGTAAGAATTGCTCAATGCTTCTTATCTGTTTAGTGTATTTTAGTGTTTAGAATTATAGCTAATACTTGTGGTGATATTAGAGATATATTGTTTGAAGACATAAATATGCAGAAGATTCCACATTGCTGGAATTATTTGCAGTGAACGTTAGATATTCATATTTATTTACAAGTAAGACGACGAGTTTTATGTGCCAAAATACATCTCCAAAATTGGATTTGGCTTATTCTGGACTGTTCAATCCCAAATATTGAAACTTTCCAAAACTCAGGAAGAAGAAAGGAAAGGAAAGTGAATTCAAAGTAATTGACTACTTGCTTGAAATTGTATATGGAATCAACCATCAAGTTTTGCTTACAATTGTTCTGAGAATTAATTAAGACATTTTCAACCAGTTTCTCTGCTAGAAACAACCCAAATTTGTAGCAGTTTTAATCATTGACTTAGGCAATATTTTCCCCAGGAGAGCCAAATTATAGAACTGTACTCATAAAACTATGATAAATACCGTCAGTATGTATAATATTTTTAGAAAAATCAATCCTTTTTCCATCTTGGTCAGAAAAAAAATCAGATAGATGTGCCAGCTCCTGGGAAGGATAAGGGAATAAGACAGGATAGGTTCCTTACAAAAGGTTTCTTATGAGCTGTTGTAGCTCTCTTGAAATCAGGAGGAAGCAGTTTACTAATCTCCCAATAGATCACACTAGAGATTCTGGCTGCACAGACTATTTGGAAGGATAGTTGTGCCAAGACTCTGCCACAGTTCCAGCAGGTTCCATCCAGAAAAATCTGCATTTGTTCAGTTTCCAATCTGTGTTCTACAGAGAGGATTTGTTCAGCTTCATGGAAGCAAGTACTACAGAGCTGTTGCTGGCATTGCCTATGCATTTTGACCACCCACTACCATGCAGCATCTCAGCAGAAGCCCCATAGGAAAGGTTTGAAGGTCCAACACAAAGAGGCTATTATTGCAATCTGTTTGTAGGCCTGACTTAACACAGTGGATAAAGCCACCGGGAAGTCATTCAGATTCAATTGTAAACCAACAAGCCCTCACCTTACTGTGTATTCGAATTCAGTGTAATCCTATGGAAGAGTCATCCTTTTATTAACTGCCAAGGCAAACAAGCCTGCTATTTTATAAAATCTGAACACAAAACTTTTTGCACAACAATTGGATTGGCAAAATTTATCCAACCATTGGCAAGCTGTATTTAGGTGCCAAATATGTCACAAACATATGGGTTATGTTTTTACAGTCATTTAACCCAGTCACTCATTCACCAATCAAATCTCCTTACTGTTGATTGTGCTATGTATAACCACATTGATTGAAAATCTTAGTTTGTGGAATACAGAGCTGCCTCCCATATTCTCCATCAAACAGCCTGGTATTCCATCAGCCCATCTTAGCAGTAAGTTTTGTGATGGAAAGGCTTGCTTTTTCCTTTTCTCTCCTTCCAGCACCTTTTAATGGAGCACTAAGTATGTAAAACAACTCAATTTTAGGTATGACAATGACCCAATTGACCAAATGGGGTTAGCTTAACCTTGTACATCACTGGGCCTACACACCATTACATTAAGTGATCCCTGGGGAATTAATTTATTACCCCCGATTGATCCATTTTAACATGTAATGGGACTGAGGCCAAAGACTATAAATGGGCGCTCTCAAAACCTAAAAGAAACTGAAAGTACAGGAAGGTATAAATTATTTTACTGGTCTCCTTGTTACACCAAGCAGCCAATGGGAAATTATACATGTGATAGTATGAAATCTTTCTTAGTTTCAACTTGAACAGCCATGTCTCTAATATATCTGCTTCCTCTGCTGGTCAGAAAACTACTTGCTTCTTGCAACCTGTCTGTCTGCAGCCCTTGGATTTGCACTTATCAAACCACTTTTGAAAATCAGTGTTCAGATGGTCTGTGTTAGAGGTTTTGTTCCCTACTTCAATCC